ACTTTGCCTCTGTCTTGTGACAACCTGCATTCTGTGATGATTAATAAAATTTGATTCTGGATAAGATCTTGGACGCTTGTGTTGTCTATTTGTTTGTTTTCTTGAGTTGGGATCTCGCTCTTGTCGCCCACGTTGGAGTGCAGCAGCATGCTCATGGTCACTGCAGCCTCGATCTGCTGGTTTAGGCAACCCTTCCAACTCAGTCTTCCAAGTAGCTGGAACTACAGATACATGCCACCATGCCCAGCTTTTGTGATTTGTTGTGGAGACGAGGTCTCAGCAAGTTGCCCAGACTAGTCTCGATCCCCTGGACTCAGGTAATCCACTAGTTTTGACCTCCCAAAGTGCTGGGATTATAGGCTGAGCCACCACACCCGGCAGATGCTTATGATTTTAACATGCCAACCTGACTCTGTGTTGTCTTATATCGACACAGTATTTTTGTGACAATGAAATTAGCTAGAACTGGGCCTTGTGCATAATAAGTGCTCAGTAAATGTGAGTAATTATCAGAGGCTGGATTAGGACACAGATGTGACAATGCTATGGAAAGCTTAGAGTGGTGCACTGATGTGAATTCTTATACCTTCTAGTATAAAGGGAAAAAAACAGTGCAGATCTTTACAGATCTGAGTTCAAATCTTTGCTGCAGCATTTACTAGCTGTTTCATGTTAGGGGGCTCCTAACCTCTCTGGACTTCAGTTTCCTCATTTGTAAATGGGATTGCTTAGTCCTAATTTGCAAGGCTACCATGCAGAGTAGGAGGTGATGCAAGTAGGGTATCCTGCACGGTGTCTAGGTCAAAGTCTGTGCTCAAGGAAGGCTGATGTTTGAACTCCATTATGAATGGACTGAGTCGGTGGGGTGAGGACTGGGCAAAGAGAGGAATGGGGTCAGGGAAGACCTAAGCCACTACCTCTGTCCTTTGGGCATGTCCTGTGGGTTCAGCACCTCCTTGTCCACACCTTAGAGCTTAGCGCCTGCCATGGCCCCTTCTATTTGAGTTCCCTGGCCATTAAGCCATCCAGGTCCTGGCTCAGAGCCTTCTAGATCTCAGGACAAGACTGGGCAGTAAGGGAAGCTGGTGTTAAAGCACAGACTACATCTAGGTACTTGTCCCTGGCCCCAGTGCTTGCCCTTACCACCAGAATGTGAGTGGGGGAGAGGGAGTTACTTTGGGCCAAGGCACTTAAGAAGCTCTCTCCATAGTCTTTTTCTCAACCGCCCACTGGATGCAGTCAACCATGAGGCCCCACAGGCTGGCAGAGACAAAACACAGAACGAGCCTGGGTCCAAGAACCCATCTACCTGGGACACCAGCCATGAATGGTGCCATGAGTGAGAACAGAATTTCTATTGTGTACAACTGCTGTCGTTCAAGGATATGTTTGTTAGGCAGCTGGCATTACACTGACTGGTAAGCGCTGTTGAAGTGATGCAGAATTCAGATTGCATATATGAAACGTTTGAGGTACCTATTCATGGCATGTCATTAAGTATTATCTCTCATGGGCAGTGGCCTTAGAACCGCTTTTAAGTTAGCAAGGTTGGGTTAGAAGCTATGAGACTATTTTTTGTGCTGGTGATTAAAAAGCTGTTGGCCATGTTTTCCCAGCACATTTGTTACATGAAGGAGAGTGTGAGGAATGTATGTGACTGCAGTATACACTCTTCAATTTTGACTTTATGGTTTTAAAAATCTGGTTCTATTTTATCTCCCTCCTTCTTCTGCTTTGCTTTCCCCCTCCCCTCAGTTAGGCACAGAACAGGTACTCAGTAAAGACTGGAGAAATTAATCTGAATGGAATTGAACCTTATTCCTATTCTCTCTCTTAAAAAGAATCTTGGTATTTGATTGACGAATTCTTTTACTCCATGCAGTTGGCTAATGCTGCCTCCACATTGTTGCTGGTACCATTAAATCCAAGCTGCCTCTTCCTAGCAGCTGGGGATACTGGGGGACTGACGGGAGACCCTGTGTCTCCACTTTGTCTCACCCCCAAGCCTTTAGTTAGAAAGGCAGATTCCACCCTTCCCTCAGTTACTTCATTCATTCTTTAGCAAGCCCTCATGGAGCCCTTACTATATCCTCAGCACAGTTCCAGGTTCTCAGGATGAGACCATGAACTACACACCAGGTCCCTTCATGGAGGTGATTTTCTAACTGGGGAGAGACACACAGACAGCAGCCCACAGGCCACGTAAGGTCTATTGTCTGCTTTTGTAAATAAAGTTTTATTGGAACACAGCCACGCAATCTATTCACTTACTCATTGTCTATGGTTGGGTTGTGCACAATCATAGTAAGGAAAAGTAGTTACAACAGAGAATGTGTAGCCTGTAAGGCAAAAAATATTTTCACCTGGCCCTTTTTAGAAAAAGTCTTTCCAAGTGTGTATTCAACAAATGAGTATGCAGGAAATAGATATGCCAAGGACCAGTGCTATGAGAAGTGATAGGTCAGAAAGTATGTGGGTATGTATGTGCATGCATGTGTATATAAATGTGTATCTCTCCACATGCTTATGTGTGTGCATGAGTATACATGTGCATGTGTGTATATATACAAACATGTGCACATATGTGTGTGCGTGTGTATATGTGTGTATGTGAATATGTGGGAATACATGTGTGTATGTGCATAAGCATGTATGTGTATTTGCAGGTATATACATGGGATGTATATGTGTGTATGTATATGTGTATACATGTGTATATGTGTATGCTATACGTGCATGTGCATGTGTTCATGTGTATGTTTGCACGTGTGTATTCATATATGTCTGTTTAAGCATATACATGGGTATATGCAAGTGTGTGCATATGTGTATATGTGTACGTGCATGTATACATGTGTATATGTGTATATGTGTGTGCATGTGTATAGGTGTATATGTATTCATGTGTATGTGTGTATGTTTTACATGCATGTGTATACATGTGTGTGTGCATGTGTGTGTGCGTGCATGTGCGTGTGCAGGTATGTATGAGCGCATGTGTGAGTGCCCAAGTTTGTGTGTATACAAGTGTGTGCCGATTCTAGATGTGGTGGTCAGAGAAGGTCTCATTGAGCAGGGCCATCTCAGAAGGCACTCCACACCGGCGCGAGTCCTGTGGGAGCAGAGACTGCCTCCATCTGGGCTTGCTCACCAGCATCCACAGACGAGCAGAGGACCATGGCTGAACACCTCCGTGGGCACAGGTGTGAAGATGGGATGTGAGCTGGTGATGCGGCTGCCCTGTAGGACCAGACACTTCTACGCCTTGTGCCCACTGCTAACTGCAACACATGGTGCTTGTTCATCCAGGCACCTGCCTGGGAGGTGCCTCCTTCTTCCTGTAACTGTCTTGACCACCCATGCAGTACAGTGTGTGTGTGTGTGTGTGTGTGTGTGTGTGTGTGTGCGCGCGCGCACACGCGCACGTGCGCAAGTGTGTGTCTGAAGCTCTCCCTGATCATTCCAAGGCCCTCTCATCACAATACCCTGATGTCCTGGACGGACAAATGCTTTTCATCCATCACACATGTGCTAGAACATGATGGCCCATGAGAACTCACAACACAAAGGGAGAAACAGATGTTCAATTTCATTTGTTCTGATAGAAACTTAGTGTTATTTTCATCAGCACAGAAACCACAACCAAAGAAGAGCGCGAACATCATGTCATGGAGCAAGCACACAGCCAGGTCAACCCCTGCCCTCAACCCGCCTTCGCAGTCCCACCTTGGCCCTTGGTGGAGGCTGGATGCAGACACAGGGCCAGGGAATGACACGACCCTCGGTCTCATTCCACCCTCACCATTTGGCAGATGGGGAAGCTGAGCTCCACACAGAGGAGAGGCCTTTCTCACTAACCCATGGCCGAGAAATATCAGGGCTGGGGCTAGAAGAGAGCTCTGGGTAAACTGAGGCTCCAAATGCTCCAGGCATCACACTCGCAGGTATAGTGCAAAGTGGTCATTAGGGGCCTGGGCCGGGGAGTCAGGCAACCCTATCACCTACTCACACATGCAAGTTACCTTCCATGTCTGCCATCTGTGCAACTCTCATGAGCCTTAAATGAGTTCACATAAGTCAAGTTCTTAGCCGAGTATAACACAAAATCAATGATTAATACATCTTAGACATGACCATAATGTTTATTAGATCTTTCACTCTAGCCTGTAACTTTTTTATAGGCACAGACATTAACCTGATTATCTTTGATCCATGACCAAACAGTCTCACATCTGACTCATAGCTCTCACCTGTGTGATTTTTTTCCCCCCAGAGACAGGGTCATGCTCTGTCACCTAGGCTGGAGTGCAGTGTTGTGACCATAGCTCACTGCAGCCTCGAACTCCTGGGCTCAAGCAATCCTCCTGCCTCAGCCTACTGAGTAGCTGGGACTGCAGTCATGCACTACCATGCTTGGCTGATTATCATTTTTTTTTTTTTACTTTTTGTAGACATGGGATCTCACTATATTACCTTGACTGGTCTCAAACCCTTGGTCTCAAGCAATTCTCCCACCTCAGCCTCATAAATTGCTAGGTTTGCAGGCATGATTTGTGCACCCTCCCCAAAAGTGTGAATTGTTATTGCTGTGCTGTTGTTTGTCATCATCCACTCATATTCGGGTGAATGCATTACCTACCATCTGTGGGACAGAATGAAGACATTCAGCTGCATTTGAATAGGACCAAAGAGATGGCAAAGGACACACCCTTCCCCCATCAGTCTTTGCTTCTTTCTGGGCTCTGGGCTCCCATCTGTACAAAGGGGTGCCATGAGCCCCTGGGTGCATACCCCACTCACACATCAAGTTCACCTTCTATCTCTGCCTTCCCTAGAACTGTCATGAGCCTTAAATGAGCTCATATTAGTCAAGTTCTTAGCCAAATATAATATGAAATCAATGATCAATACATATTAGACATGACCTCAATGATTATGGTATCTTTCACACTAGCCTGCAGCTTCTCTGAAGGTGCAGGTGATGAACAGGGGTGCCTTACCTGGGCCACTGCAGAAGGAGGCAATGATGGCCAGGATGCACACGATACTCAGGTAAGGGACCCAAGGGGCACGATCCTGCAAGAGAACGGGGATGTGGGCAGGTGGGGTGGTGACAGTGTACCTGGAAGACTTGGGTCCCTGCCCCAGCTCCTCCTCCATCCACCTGTGTGACCTTGCACAAGTCGCTTTATGTCCCTGAGCCCCAGTTTCAGCATCCCTGATGGAAACAATGATAACTCCTGAGTCAGTCTATCCACCTATTTCACATATATGAGGAGGAAATCAGAAGATGCCCGCTAAGAGTTTAGCATAGTCCCAGCATACAGGAAGTAGTAAATAAATGAACAAGTCACGCAGATTGCATGCTGAATTGGAAGCAGGCACTATGAGAAGTTTTTACAGGTATTAAAATGTTTAAAAATTTCTTTTAGTTATTAGTACTATGAATATTTTTATATATAATATAATTATCAGTATCAGTATCTTTATATGTATGATATCAGTATTATTATCTAAAGCACCATATTTGTACCCCTGCTATCCTGTCAGTATGCGGTGAGTTAATTAATTTCACAGAGTGAGTCATCTGGGTGCTGGGTGCTGAGTGCTGGGTGCCAAAGGATATTTGGGGATCACTCCTGCTCTAGCTGACTGAACAGCTGATCACCAGAACATGGTCTCACTGGTTCTGAGATGCAGTGAATACATGTGGAGATGCTGCAGCTGCCCCAGGAGGGGCCATATGACCTCATCTGGAGTGATGCGGGGAAGGAAAGAGTCTGCCCAGCTTTGCAGGCTGGGCTGGGGTCAGCCCAGGGGGACGGGAAGGGAAGAGAAAGAAAGGGAACAGGAGGGGAGAGAAGGGAAGAAAAGGGAAGGGAGGGGAGGGGAGGGGTTCTAGGAGAGGTTCAGCGTGGACAAGAGCACAGAGGCATGGAGGGCACAGCTCATGAACTGTGAGCAGCTCAGCATGGAAGGTGAGAGGCAGGCAGGGGAGAGGGAGAAATGGGAGCTCCTTCCCTTCCTTCTATATCCAAGCCCATCAGATCTCGCTTCAGGAGGAAGCTGTCAGGGTTTGGGGGGGATTTTGTTGGTGGTCATACATCACGTGGCCACTTCCACACCAAGTCAGTCACCCACTCATTCATGTGGCTGACTGACTGGAGCCCCCCCTGGGTGCTGTGTACTGGGCAGGGAGGCTGGAATGCAGAACGGACATGGGCATGGTCTGTGACACCCACAGTTCGGTCTCTTGGGAGAAAGAGATGCATCGACAGTGAATGTCAATGCTCTATGATAAGTGACCTCACAGGGCTTCTAAGAACAGAGAAGAGGCCACTTCACTCAGCAAGGGGAGGCTTCCTGGAGGAAGAGGTATCCAAGTGTATCCAAGGCTTCAAGTCCAGAAAGCAAGGAGAAGCTATTCAAGCATAAGAGAGGAAATGGCTAGGTGAATGGGGAGCTGCCAGGGGAAGGTGTAGGGCACTGGGAGAGACAAGAGAGGGCCATGCCAGGAAGAACTCCAAAACCCTGTGGAGTGAGGCTTAGATGGGGACTGTGAGCTCCAGACAGGCCTTTCGAACATCTGACTCAAGGTACAGAAAGACAAGACCCCAGAACATCCCCTAACCAGCTACCCCAGACCTCAGAGGCACCCAGGGGACTGCAAAGTCACCCCTGCTGGGGACTGTGTTATGCCTGGCCATATCAGGGAGCTGCGTCTGCCAGCACCCTGTCCCTGAGGGTCATGTTTCCGCCTCCTGCCGGTCAGCTGGCCAGCACCACCTCTTTGAAGGATGAGCTATTGCCCACTAGACACCACTGTACTAATGTTGCCTTTTGCTAGAAGTGTTTGGGACATTAAGACATTTGGCAGGTGATTAACCTACGCAACTATTAGTTTCAAGATTCGTTTTTGAAAAATACAAAGACAATCAATTGCTGCAAGCTTACTTCATGCTCCCCACAGTGCCAGGACAGATGAGAGACACAGAAGTGCTCAGTGAATGCAGGTTGCTCTGAGCCAGCCAGGGCAGAAGTCCAAGTCCTGGAATCAGTCCCAGCTTTACCATCTTCTAGGTGTGTGACCTTGGGCAGCTTATTTATTTGTAATTATGCCTCAGTTTCCTCATCTCCACAAAAGGAAAAAATTACCAATTAGGTAAGGATGAAGTATACTGGCATCTCTTCTCCTAAGCATATGTGCACCAAGTGCCCATTCCAAGTATTTTCCATGTATTTTTTTCATTAAATCCTCATAACCCCCTGGATGAGGAACGGCTGGCCCATCTTTGAGATGGGACCCTGAAAGGAGCTGAGAGGGTGGGTGACTTGCAAATGTTCGTGGCAAGTAAGGAAAAGTCAGCACTCTAACAGGCAGCCTGGCTCTAGGACCCCTGCTGGTAAAAATAGGACAATTAGAAGTGGCCTGGTTATGCAGTGCCCGGCTCCCATACTGGGATGTGAGAGCTGGATGGTGCATCTTAGGGCCATCTAGTGCAAGCTCCTCTATTACATAGATGGGTAAACTGAGGCTCAGAGAGAGGATGCATCTTGCCCAAGATCACACAGCTCATCAGTGGCAATGACAGGACCAGAAGTCAGGTCTCTCGCTTTCCAGTCCAAGGTCTCATCACCAAAGTCTCTTCCCCAAGGGCTCCCAGCAGCTCCAGGGCTGAGATGCCCCAGGGGACAGCTGTGTCACAAGAGTTGTCTGGATCAGGTACAAATCCACAAACCAAAGGCCCCAAAGTGCTGAAGCCAGAATCCCACTCCATGCTGACCTCCCTCAAGTGTGACAAGAGCATCTTCTCACCTGTAGTGTCAGCGTGATGGTGAGGATCCCAAAGAAGATGGCCATCAGCCCAAAGCCACCAATGAGGAGGGGTCTCCGTCCCAGGCGCTCAATGACCAGGCCCTAGTCCAGGGTGAAAAAGAGAGTGACAGAGAGAGAGAGAGAGAGCAATCATTACACTTCTAGCAGAAAGTGGAAGGAAGCGTGGAGCTAGAGGCCAGCCACGGGGTCAAGGTTCAAGGTTGGCTTTAACTCTGAGGCAGCTAGGATGTTTTCTTCACAGCCACAGCCTGAGAAGCAATGACCTCTGTGAGAAAGAAGAAAAGGAGGGAAAGAAAGCAGCAAGTCTCGAGCACCTGTAACGTCCGTGCATTCACCTTTCCTCCTCCTCTTTCTCCTGGGGCTGGACCCCTCTGCCAGGGAGTTCGGCAGAAGAAGCTGGATGAACATGGTCACCACAGCCCTTTCCCCTCCTTCAGAGCCAGCCTGCCATGGAAGGCAAGCCCTCAACTTCTGTGTCACGGATTTTCCATGGGCAGGCACCCATTGCAGGACACAGGGCACAGAGAAGGCGCTGCTGTTTTCCACTCTGTCTGTGTCTAGAGGGGTCAGTTTTGTCCTGGAGTGTGTGATACAGGGAGGTCAACTTGATGCAGGCTCTGAAGCTGCCTTCTCCCACCCAGCCTCCCTCAGTCCCGGGTGGTCATCAGCCTCCATCAGCTACCCTTTTGTCCACCTTGGTTGGGTAGGGACCAGATCCTGACTGAGCTCCTGCAAATGACAAAGGCCCTGAAAGATAGTGATTTCAGCCTAGTCAGACGGGCAGACCTGGGTTTACACCTCAGCTCTGCTACTTTCCAGGCAGCAGACTTTCCAGGTGTTCAAACTTTAGTGTGAGACTTTGCCTCCTGAAGCCACAGGGCCTTTACCTGTGGCAAGATAACCAAACTATCCCCTAACAAGGGCGTCCGGAGGGGGCAAGCAGGTTAAATCAGAGACTGCACGCAACACACACGTGAGGCACTCTAATCATGTCAGGTGCCTCCCCATCCCCCTCCATTTCACAGAAAGAAAACCCTGAGGACCAGCCAGGTGAAGTAACTCAGCAAACGTCACACAGCCAGTATATGAGAGAGGGCCAGACACTGAATCCGGGTGTTTGAATCAGGGTCGTTTATTGACCCAGCAGCCATTCACCCAGCACCCAGTGCCCTTCCCCACAGTGCTAAGTCCCCTGGTAGAATGATAATGTGAACCTTTTCTTCTGGTTAGAATTTTAAAATTCAACTTTATTAAGGTACAGTTTTTGTTCAATGAAAAGGACTCCTTTAATTGTGCTGTTTGATATATTCAGACAAATCTGTATACCCTATCATAACTATAACTAAGATATTGAACATTTCTATCCCTCCAAAAAATTATCTTGTGTCCTCCATAGCCCCAGGCAGTCACTGATCTGTTTTCCAGCAGAAGGATTGAATTTGTCATTTCTAGAGTTTCATATTGCTCATTATAGTATTTTTGAGATTCAACCATGCTATTGTATCTATCAGCAATTTTCTTTTTTGATGAGCACTATTTCATTGCATGAATATGCCACAGTGTGTTTCCTCTTTACTTGTTGATGGGCATTGGGTTGTTTCCAGTTTATGGATCTAATAAATAAGGCTGTTGTAAATATCTGAATAAGACTCTAGTAGGTAGACAAGTGTTTTGATTTCCCTTGAAAAGTAATTATGAGTGGAATAACCGGGTTGTATGAGTAAAAATGTTATAAGAAGCTGTCAAACTGTGCTCCAAAGGGGTTGTACCATTTTAAGTTTCCGCGGTGTATGAGCTTCATGTCCCTGGCGACACGTGGTATTACGTCATCCATCTACATTGTGGTGAATGATGTTGTCTCCTTGCAGGGGTTTTTTTTTGCATTGGAGTCTCACTCTGTCGCCCAGACTGGAGTGCCGTAGCCGCTCCCGGCCACCGCAGCCTCGACCCGCTGGGCTCTGGCGATCCTTCCGCCTCAGTCTTCCGAGTAGCTGGAACTACAGGCGTGCGCTACCACACCCAGCTAATTTTTTGGTTTATTGTAGAGATGAGGTCTCGCCAAGTTGCCCATGCGGGTCTCGAACCCACGGGCTCAGGCAATCCACTCACCTCAGCCTCCCAAAGCGTGAGATCACAGGCTGAGCTACCAAACCCGGCTTCCTTGCAGGTTTTAATTTTAACTTTCTTGATGGCTGATGACATTGAATGTCTTTCAAGTGTGTGTTTTTGTTTGTTTGTTTTGTTTTGTTTTACCTTTGGATGTCTTCTTTGGTAAAGCATCTGTTCAAACATTTTCATTATTTTCAAGTGGATAGTTAGCTTTCTTAATGTTGAGTTCTAAGAGTTCTTTATATATTTTTAAATTCAAGTCTCCTGTCAAATGTGTGTTTTAGAAGTGTGTTCTCCCAGTCTGTGACCTGTTTTTTCATTTCTTTGAAAATGTCTTTTAAATAGCCACATTTCAATATTGATGAAATACAACTTAGCATTTAAAAAAATCATTTATGATTTTGCATCCCATCTCGCAAAACTTTCTCTTTTGTTCTCTTCTGGCATTTTTGTAATTCTATTTATATATATGGTCTATTGGAGTTCATCTTTTTGTATGGTGTGATAAGATTTGACATTCTTTTTTTCCCATAAGAATGTCTACTTTTTATGACACACTTTTTGAAAAGATTATCCTCTCCTCCATTGAATTACTTTGGCAACTGTTATTTTCTGAACTCTATTCTATTCTATTAATTTATATGGCTACCCTTCTGCCTGTTTCACACTGTCTTGATTACTATGTGTTGGACATTATTATAGCACTTACTATGCCCCAGGCACAGTTCCAATGTTTTACATATACTTTAATCCTGACATTTACAGGCAGTAGGCGCTATTACCATCCATTGTTGTATCTAGAACTTGAAACTCAGAGACGTTTAGCAACCTGGCTAAGGTTGCACAGTGGCAGAGTCAAAATTCAAGGTCAGGTAGTTTGGTTTCAAAGTCTTGTTCTTAACCCCTGTGCTCTACCACCTCTCTCCATGTCACTGAGACAAATGCACACATTTATCAAAAGAATCTGCTCGTACTCTTGATGCTTTTCTTCTTTCATTTGTGTGAGCTGCTCTTGGTCACTGAGAGCCTCCAATGGACCAGGCCCTGGCACTGGAGCACACATAAGACAGGACTCCCTGCCCATGGAGAATGTTGAGTGGTTTGAATGCATCCTCCCAAACAAGCAAATACTGAACCCTAACCCCTAGTACCTAAGAACGTGACCTTAGTTGGAATCAGTGTCTTTATTTCTAGGTTATCAAGGTAAAAATGACATCATCAGAATGGGCCCTGACCCATGAGGCCTGGCGTCCTCCTAAAAGGGAAAATGTGGATGCAGAGACAGACATGAACAGACAGAAGCCCCATGAAGATGAAGGCAGAGATGGGGTGATAGCTCTACAAGCCAGGAGCCCCAAAGACTGCCAGCAAATCCCCAGAAACCAGGAGAGAGGCATGGAACAGTCTCTCTGCCAGCCCTCCGAAGAAAGGAGCCCTGCCAACACTTGAACCTCCGGTTTCTGGCCTTTGGAACTGTGAGACAATGAATTTCTGTTGTCTAAGCCATAGTATGTGGAACTTTGTTACAGCGGCCCCAGGAAACCAATACTAGGAGCTAATCTCTGATGTAGGGCGGGGCTTGTTATGTTGTCTAAATGATCAAAAGGATGAAAAAAGAAGGAAAGTAACCCTGAAATATGTACAACTATTATATATAAGAAACACATCTTTAAACGGGAGAGCTGCAAGGAAGAAAAACATAGCTTAAAGTCTCATTTTTTTCAAATTTGGCTCAACATTTCCAAATTGGACTTAATGTGCCTTTATACGATTTTACATATATTACTTTATATGTATTTTCTGTATCAATCTTTGTTTATATTGTATTTATATATTACACAGTTACATATATATATGTGTGTATGTATGTATGTGTGTGTATACATACATATACGGAGGGAAAAAAATATAGCTAAAAATTTTATTTATTTCAAATTTGGCTCAAAATTTCCTGATTGGACTTAATGTACCTTTATATGGTTGCACATATATTAGTTTATATGATTCCTATACTAATATATGTTGATCTCAATATCTATAATTGATATTGATATTAATATGTATAGTTGATATATAAGTGAATAGAAATCAAAATGTGTATTTGAATAGATATAATTGAATAGATACCAGTATATATATTTGAATAGATATAACTGAACTAATATCAGTATCTATAATTGATATATATGTCAATACACGCACACACACACACCATGCTGTACTCAGTGGTTGTGGTTGGCAGGAGTTCCTGACTTTCCCAGGGACTAGAGTCCTGCCAGAGTTCATTCCTATACCAGAGGGGAGACTTGTGATCAGATAAGATGCTCTCTTCTCTCTGTCCAACTCCAGGTCAGGGCCTTTTCTGATTCTGCTGATTTGCAAAAGCTCTGTCCTTGCCTGGCCATATGGACTTCCATGGGCCACATGGACTGACTGATAGCAGAAGCCCCAGCAGCCTCCCCAGGAAGCCGGGTGGATGGAGCCCCACCTTCTTCAGGGCACCCTGTCTGCTCCCATGCATGGATCCCAGACAAAGGCAATGTGATCCTTCTTTAGTTGGGCAGTGCGACTTCCTCAATCGGTTTTAACCAGCACTAGTCCACTAAGTGACTATGTACTGCATGTTGCCTGTGCCCAGCCGGGTGGAGCCCAGGGAGACCCAGGACTGCGGTGATACAATGTAACTACCATCGCCATTTCCTTAAACCCACCATGTGCAACACGCGCACACACTTTAAAGTCTGCATTGTAAAATAGCCCTATGAGGTTGCCCCCAACAGCACTGGCCAAACTGATGGCATCAACTGGGAGTGTACCAAAGAAATTTCAACACTAGAGTGATATGTGGCCCAGGTTGCCCCCAACAGCACTGGCCAAACTGATGGCATCAACTGGGAGTGTACCAAAGAAATTTCAACACTAGAGTGATATGTGGCCCAGATGAGGGCCAGCCCTAGGCATCCCAAACCGCC